CCCAAACAGTAAATGACTGCCATTTGTCAATAAACTTATAAAACCGATCTCTGGACCGAAACATCCTTGCCATGATGGACAGCTCTAGTGCGGATTGCAGACTATATCCTAGACTTAACAATCTATACGGTAATAACCCAGGTTCAAGATCGGGATAGCCATAAAATATGGCTATTGTGTACCTTATTACTAATAACCATGCAATGAACAAAAAAACAATGTTGTATATTCGAGAAAAGTTGTGGCACGAAAAGGAACGAATTCCTGAAATTATCCGATCTACCCGACTCTTAGTTTCAAACTTTTCCACTGGCGTTAAATTTTCTTTGCGGTCCACAAATATCCCAAATAATTTCATCACGAAAAATATGTATCTCAAAGTTTTTCTTAAGTCTCCCATGATTAGCTCGGTGTTGGTATTTATGGTGTCCATGCTGAAAGCTAGTCTCTATTGTCCGATATATGTTGATCAGACATAGCACAATCAGCTAATGTTGCGATTATCTTGAAACTAGACATGATATTGTAATCTTATGGAATGGTATCGCTGCCAATATTAAATGCTCTGCTACAATGTCTTTTCCATTGATTATATGTAAAATGTACACTGTACAAAGCTCTAATAGGCTATTACATAGTTACAAATGGAAATGAACGTGTTTTTCACTAATATGTAAAATGATACCTGGAATTTCATATTTGGTCATTGCATAGCCCCCCCCCCCCCGAAATCATGGTAAAGTACATCCAAAGTTTCAAGGTAAGTACATTTCTTGTTGTGTGCTGATTTCCTGGTAGTGTCGTGAATATCCTTGTTCCGGCTTATATTGTGCCAGGTTTCCGTATATGTTAATAAGTCACGTGATATCCTACAATTGCATATGGAAGTTGATGCTGTGCGAAAGATGCTATGTAGAAAGCGTGAAGGACAAATGAGATGTGGCAAAGCGCAAATGTAAAATGTAGACACATCAATTAAAGCATTTTCTAACAAAACATTTGTCATTTGACATTTTAACATTTGACGTTTTACATTTAACTCTTGCCTTATAGGTATTTTGACTTTATCATTACCGGTATTAGGACTTTGTACATTGTACTTTTTACATATTATCAATGGAAACGACATTGTCGCAGAGCATTTAATATTGGCAGCGATACCCTTCCATACAATCTCACCCTGTAACACAGAATAATAGTTTTTAAAACAGTATTTGAACAATTCACATGATAATTAGTGATTCGCAATTATAGTTATTGAGATAAAAGCAAAACCACTATCCATTACCAAATACACAATTGCCACCAACGATTCCCATAGAGATAATAAATCAAAAGTATATTTACTATTCTGTGCGTTTTAAATGTTTAATGGTGATTGACTCAGGTATATTTTATCCACTCAAATCTTGTATACTTTATGAAAGATAGTGTAATTACACCGTATTGTTTGATTAACAGAATAGACAAGGATGCTGGTTGGTGTTTAACGGCACATACTAATCAACTTTGGCCAACAATGGTACTCATATCCAACATTGGTGAGGGGTTGGGTGGCCGAATGGTTAGCGCCTGCGCGCTCCATCATAAGGTCTGTTATTGAGTCAGCTGGCGTGGTTTAGATTCCCCGGTTGTACGTGATAAGGAGTAGGGTCGTCTGTCCAACCTCGTGGGTTTCTCCGGGTCCCCCGGTTTCCTCCCACTGCTAAAGACCCCTACGCGCAAGCGAATTATTGAAATACAATTGAACCATATGTTAGTCCCGAAATGATCATTTCTATGAGTTTCACTGCACAAAATGACTGCTTAAGAGCTTAAAAAGTTGTACTAATGCTACTTAAGAGCTAATTAATTAGCACTAATTTTTGACCGTAAATAAAATTTAGAGTCGATAGCTGAAACAAAGCCAAAAATTATCAAGAGCGACAGAAGTTTAACAATCTTGGCGTAAGACTGGTGACGAAGGTCATATTTTGGGCCACATTATGACCAATCAACCAATCAAATTGCTTATCGCTGCTTGCCCTTTCTTAAGTCCCCCATGGCCAACAAGGTGTTGGTATCTATGCTGTTCATATTGCAAACTAGTCTCTATTGGTCTATATAATGTTGATCAGACATAACACAGTCAGAAAATGGGGTGATTTTATATCATTGAGACCTTATACAACAAGCTCATCCTTTGTCACGCAATATATCAAATATTATATTGTCTGTAACAGGAACCGCAGTTAACAGTATTTGAACAAATACCCTGTTGTTAGTGTCGCAGAATTATGGTTAGCAGTGTTTTTCTCTTTAAAGATACGTGGGGTTGTGTGGTTCAATGATCAAAGGTGTGCGCTCTAGAACATAAAGTATGTCATTTAGTCAAGTGATGTAGTTTTGGTTCACAACTTCCACGTGACAAAGAGTATGGTCGCCTGTCCAACCTCGTGGATTTCCCCGCGTCTTCCGGTTCCCTCCCACTGCTAAAGACCTACGTGGAATCAAATTATTGAAATAACATTGAAACTTATGTTAGTCCTAAATAACCCAGTGTGTGTCGAGTGGATGTTAAACCCCATTTCTCTTTCTCTCTTTAAAGGTACATTATCATTTTTGACACATTTTTAATAATATCATATTAAAAATTACCTTCCACACCTCATTAGCGAAATCTGAACAATAGAGTTAATGCCGTTTTAAATCCAACTATCGAATCACTACTAAAAACCGCTGCCAATTAATAAATACGTAATTGCGAATAACACGAACTACACAGAAAATAAATCAATTAATCGAGACGGAAATGTATATCACTAGAATAATTTGTTTGATTACATTCTTTAATGGCCATTGATTCAGGTATGTTTTATCCGCCCAATTCGTGTATACTTTATGAAAGATATGCATGGTAAATTGCACCGAATTGTTTGTTTATTGATTGATTAAACAAAATAGACAAAATAAAAAAGTGTGTTTACTATTCTGTGGGATTACGATTGTTCATGGTGACTGATTCGGGTAGATTCTATCGACTCAAATCTTGTATACTTTTTGTAAGCTAATGCAAATTGCATCGAATTGTTTACTTATTGATGGAAATAAAAAAGAAACATTGTTCGTGTTTAACGACGCATGCCTCAATCTTTGGAATAGGGATTCTGTTTCGTGATACACGTCAATCGTGTGGTTATCATTTGGAATTGGTAAGCCATTGCTTTCCATATCACCACAAACAATCTGAATCTATGCACCATATAATTTCTAGAAGCATTAGCAATATAAGGGTAATAATGTTATTGGCGACATTTGGCGCTGGTACTGTCCAGTGCATTCACACAATATTCAACAATGGCATAAAACATAAGGAATATATGGAAGCTGGCAATAACAAGCAGGATTAATTAATATATCAGCCTTATTTTCAAGATGAATCGAGAAACAACAAACAATGCGTATTGCGGGGTTCTTGGTTTCAAACTTTTCCACTCATAGGCGTTAAACTTTTCCATCTATGGCTTAGTCAGATATACCACACTCAACTCTTCGTGGGTTTCCTCCTACTGCTAAAGACTCATACGTGCAGCAAGTGAATTATTGTAATAAAATTGAACCATATGTTAGTCCCGAAATGACATAGTTTATGTCGAGTTAAACTTATCCATGATCTATGGGTTAGCCAGATATACTACACTCAACTCCTTGTTGTGGGTTTTCTCCGGGTCATCCGGTTTCCTCCAACTGCTAAAGACCCCTACGCACAAGCGAATTATTGTAACAAAATTGAACCATATGTTATCCCGAAATGACCTAGTTTGTGTCGAGTGGACGTTAAACCCCATTTCTCTCTTTCTCCGCTTGTCGTATTATTATTATCCCCAAGTTACGAAATCCACAAGTCATCATCAAACCTCGTCACTAGAGTGTGGCAGTGCGTTTAACTATCGACACGGGGAATCGGGGATCAAAAAGGCGTATTTTCTTAAGTGAAATTAAATCTGTAGAAATTATGTTAAATGACGACATATTCGAGTGTTTATGTTCGATAGGCTCAAATGTTTTTATTTTAATTTGTATATTACAAATATGAATAAACCGTCTTCGGAAGCTCAATTATTGGAAATGAAGTTATGGTGATATGACCTTTTGAATATTCCCGGCTGAATGTATATTCATCTGATATGAATAGGTTGTTACAAAAAAAACAGTGCAATGAAAAACATAAATCAAAATTAATCTTCCATTTGAAAAAAAGCCCACTATACTTCCTAAATACATGTACTTTATTTGGATTAAGCACATTCCTTCTAATTTTTAGTAGTTATTGTATCTAGAACCGACACTTGCTTTCTTTATTTGGCCGAAAATTTCGGCGCATATTATAATCAAACAGACATTATGCAAGGGCTAGATCTGCCTATTGCATGTCTCTCTTTAGGCATTAAATGTTATATAAACTATTAATTTGATATGGGTCCGATTTTAAGAAGATCAGAACGGTTCGGCCATTTAGTGATTTAATTTAAAAATGGTGAAGCTAGACAAAGTCTCGAACAACCAGTGCCGCGGTTACAATCAGTGCACACATCTTGTCAAACCATCAAAGGCTAATATATTCGCTCCGAATAAAGTAATTTGAATGAAATTTTCAATATTCATTTTGCATGAAGAAATACCAGAATACCAGCTCTAGTTGTTTATCAAAATCTTACATAAAGTATCTTTAATTTTTATGATGAATATTATCATACATGTTTGTAAGAAGACATAAAATTAAACTTAAATTATATTACATTCATTTCAATTTTACACAAGTAAAAGTATCACTCTTTCCTTCGAAAAATAAAAAAACAACCAAAAAAAACAAAAAAAAACCCGTCGTATCTTGGCCATCGTAAGCAGAGAAGGGAATGGGTTTTAACGTTTTTACTATTTCATTTCGCTACCACGCCCTAAAAAGATCATAATATTTTAAAATTGTCTCTGCTACAATTTCGTTTCGTTTCGATTTTGCAGTAGCGACTTTATGTTACCAGTATGGCGCGTTCCATTAAACTATATTTTTTAGGAATGAAGAAATGTCAGTAGAATCTGAAACGACAGTCGTGTCGAAGAATAGCTGTATATATTTTTCTGTCACATATTAAATCTTTTTTTTTTAGATAAAAATATATAATGACAGAACTCAGAGTGACGCCCTTAGGTAAATATTTTTGAAAAGGAATTAGTACAAAAATCAACACAGACTTGGAAGGGGGATAACTCCATTTTTAAAAAGAGCTCTGCTTACCGTACGATGTTTTTTAATGATAAATTACATACGTCTGTGTTGGTTTTTTTTAATGGTAAACCATTCCAATTCGTATACTCCCTTATGGTGTTTAGAACTCCTATATATTGCTGCTGGGTGGATTGGGGACACCTTGTATATTTTACAGGGACACTATAGCCTAATTACTATTAATATTAGTTGTTTACCTCTCGGATCTACTTAGCTTAGACTTAGAGCTTTATTATACACCTGGCCAAACATAATAATTAAACTGTTCAATGTAGAAAACAAAATCAGTTATGTCAACATTGGCTTTATCTGTAGACTTCAAATTAATAAATGTATACACCCTTAAGTCTTGCCCAAATCAAAGAGTGAAGTACGGCTAGTCAAAGTTTCAAATGTAGGTAGAACTAGAAGGGTGATCAAGGGCACAAAAGTTAAAGGCTGTTTGATATCTCATTGATTATTGAATACCGGTATGACTAAACCAACTTACATACTAGTAACGCACGGTAACATTATTGTACTAGGGTTCAATGTTGTTTAATCAAGATCCGATGCTATAGTTGTTGAGCATTATATAGTGTAAAAGATTTACATACCCCATTACCCCACCCTCACCCATGGCCACAGAATCATTAACTTTATAATTCTTATATATTTCAGGTGCTGGGCAAGGTGAGTATAATAGACTATTTTGTCCCTGTTCTTTTTTTGGGGGGGTTCGCAAACCATTCAAATTTGTCCTTAAAGCTCTATGAATCCAATTTGTTTATATATTCTCATATTGGATTTAAAAACTCAAACAAAAAAAAAAATACTGACTGACTGGTTTATTTGCTGTATTCATTAGATATGGATTTACATGTAGTTTGATAAAAGTTATCCTATTCTGTCACTACGACAGTACTGCAGCCTAATATATTAAATGTAAAATGAATTTATAAAAGTGCACCTTCTATTTTCATTTATTTATTTTAAAGATGTTGGTAGAAGTTGTATATTATTAACAATAGGAGGTAAAAATGTTATGTTGGATTGTGGGATGCATATGGGATACAATGATGAGGTAGGCCTACTGAAATTTGTTATCATTATATTGTTATTTAATTTCAAATCATGGCCATACATGTATATATTTAGTCTTATTTTCTTTCAGTGGATCTAAATTAAAATTTGTCTTGATAAAAATGTACTATGAGAGATGTTTGTCTGGACACGGCACTGGTGCCCATGTTTATTTAGATTTCCAACTGTTGATGGTGTACATAGGACCTTGTTTTCTTTGTCCTATCCAAATGACTAAATGCTTTTCCTTTTCATGCTATCTGTACTACTGACAAGGGAAAATCTGAAAGAGATCTCCAGAGGAACTTTCTTGGAGAACATCAGAATCGAACACAGGACCTCAGAGTGAATGATATTTCATTTTTAAAAAAATATCGCAAGACTGCTATCGTAGATTAAGGAATCGTTTGCTTTCACACATTGAGTTTATACCTTAATCTTCAGATCGAGACCCAACTACCTACTAACAGCCTGCACACGAAGTGAATCAGTATCTGAAGTTAGCCTCAAATACTACTACTAGTACTAATAATGATAATAATATCCTTATTTTTGGTTGAGACTTAAGCCTAGGACCTGTTTACAAATCTGCCCAATAATCCTAGTGTGAGTGCAGCTCTAGATTCATCAATTAATATATCATGTTTCGTCTTATTTTTACTTTTAGAGACGTTTTCCTGATTTTTCCTATATAGCTCGTGATGGTAAATTAACTGAACATCTAGACTGTGTCATAATCAGGTATTGTATAATATTAAGCATTAATTTGAATTCTAAAAGCATTCCATATATTCAAGTGTTAAGATGTGCAGTAGTTTTTTGACTATAACATTCTTGTAAAATAATGGCAGTGAATTTGAAATTATGCTGATCCTTTTTTATATCTTATGATGTCAATCACTCTTGCTGAATAAGATAATAATTGTGTATGTATGTTCATGCTGTAACAATGACAGAGCAACTTCAATCATTATTGGAATTTAGACGCACTACCAAATGAATTCTACTATTATTATAAGTAAAGTTATCTAAAGATTAATCAAATCATATGAGAACCCAAGTATACCAGACATAACTTTTATGGTTTAAACATTTACATGTATGTCTAAAGTAACAAATTGTTTGTTACTCTTATTCAATCTGTTCCATTTGCTTTTTTGTAGCCATTTTCACTTAGATCATTGTGGAGCTCTTCCTTACATGACAGAAATGATAGGATATGATGGACCTATTTATATGACACATCCAACAAAAGCTATCTGTCCTATTTTATTGGTATGTTTTTTCGGGGAATTTATACTTTGAATTTGGAAATTGTTCATTGTAAATACAAGAACTTGTAATTCTAAATGATGATTATAACATTCTAATTGTCCAATATAACTGTCTAATCAAATTGAAAATTTTGTTAACAACCATTAGGATCTCCAAAGTGCTAACGCCTCTTTTAATTTTTAAAGTATTTTCTTTTGTTGTAGGAAGATATGAGAAAGATCGCTGTAGATAGAAAAGGTGAAACAAATTTCTTTACATCCGATATGATAAAAACATGTATGAAAAAGGTTATTGCTGTCAATCTTCATCAAAATATACAGGTACAATTATGTAATATTTTTTGTTTTGAACAGCCAGACACATATAGGGCACCTTAGTATTACATCATTGAGTTATTCTGCATGTTTAGAAAACCAACCTTTGATAGCTTTATATTTTTTAGGATAAAATGAGAAGAGGGCGGGACCGGATGGCATATTGATCGTAAAATGATATAGTATATAGAAATCTACAGAGAAAAGCTTAGTTTAAAGCAGAATTTTTTTTGGGCAATCTGTGCATGTTATCAAGATAAACAAAAATGGCCTAATTTATGTTCAAGAAGAGTAGAAGTGTTTCTGATATGCTTTGAATAAAATTTGTGTTTCAATGGTTTTATTTGAAAATCTTGTAGTCTATGTGTTAGGTTAAGGCAGATACATGTAAAGTGTGTGAGTTGAATGGTTGGAGATTGATGTTTTACAAGAAATGATTATTACAGGTTGATGATGAATTAGAAATTAAAGCCTATTATGCTGGTCATGTACTGGGAGCTGCCATGTTTGAGGTCAGAGTAGGCCAACAATCTGTTGTTTATACTGTAAGTACTGTACATATAGTTTAAATATGTGTAATATGTAATCTTTAAAGGAGTCGCCCCAATCTGATTAAAACACAGATCCTATTTCTTTTCGTTTTCTTATAGTTCAAAATTTCGTTTTACTTGTCTTCACAACACTAGGATCTGGAAGAGTTGTTATATAACAGGCGTTCTAGTTGATGTGAGGAATAAGCCAATGAAACGGTCTGTTACGGCAAGTTCTTGGTGTGCTCTGCACAGAACTGTGGGCAAACCCCTAGAAACGTCAACGCTGATTGATTAATCAATGTCTTACATCATAGGGTCAAAAGTCGCTCTTATGTAGTACAACTGGTCAAATCTTCATGTAGTGTAGGCTATCGAAAGTATAAAAAAAAACGAAATAAAAGATAGATCTGTATTTAATCAGATTAGAGCTGCCTCAGATATATTTCATTGAATAAAACTGGTGCAAGTACAAAGACTCTTAGAAACCCTTATCCAAGTCAGGTACAACTACAGCTTTTAGTACTTTTATGCAGAGGTACAAACCCTCGCATTCAAAACGTTATCTCCTTGTGCATGCTTAGCCATGTCTACGTACTAGCTTGTGTTATAGTTGCATTTTTCGTGATTATCACATGACTCCTACTGATGAATTCCTAAATGACTCAAGATATTTGGAGATGGAACTTTTAGGTATTCTATTTGAGCTTTTTCTTGACAATTTGTTCTTTAATTTGTACACTTAAACCAACTTTTATCAATGGGACTACTCCTATAAGTTTTCTGAAAAACAATATATGGTAAATATTTGTATACCTGCCATATGTGGTAATGTATCTTCCTTAGAGTCTGGTTTTGATGTCAACTAAGAGGTAGACTTTAGGATGCAGGCCCATACCCCATCCTTTATATGATACAGACATGATATACTCACTGCAACTCAGATTAAAATGAAATGTACTTTTCCAAAAGTTTAATTGATGCTTGTATGATTGGTGGATAATGCCAAGTAAAAACACCAGATAGGTTGTGTGGACTATTTTGATTATGCTAGGTTCCCACTATCACGATTCACGCTACAATCGTTGAGTATTCATGGTGATCCTATCAGGTCTTATATATTGAGGTCAGTCGTAGCAGTCGTGTTGATCGCATCGAAACTTATCCGAACATATGTGGACATACCAGATCGCGGACTCAATAGGGACAGTCTTATCGTATCGTATCAGACGACAGAGAGAATCTTCATTAGCCCAGTTTGTGCATAGGAGTAGACTGTTAAACACTGTTTCATTCATCTGATGAGTTGGCTAGCGAACCCAATAGACCAATGAAAACAAAAATCCATAATTGCTGTCTAAAGCTCATTACCATTGCTTCAGGAATATGCTTTACTCAAACTGTATCATTGATAACTATTTACTGACCATATCAAGACTATTTAAGCAAAGATCTGTTCCATATCTATTTGTCATAAAATAATTTTTGGTCTTTTAACATTAGGGTGATTATAATATGACACCAGATAGACATCTTGGAGCAGCTTCAATAGATAAATGTCGTCCAGATTTACTCATAACAGAATCAACTTATGCCACAACTATACGGGATTCAAAGAGATGTCGAGAGAGAGATTTTTTAAAGAAAGTACATGATTGCGTAGAGAAAGGAGGAAAGGTATGTTTAAAAGTTGATTTTTTTTTTCCAAATTATTTTTTTACATTTTGAGATTACCATAGAAGAATTAAGCCCTTAAAAATAGGATATGGGGGGGGGGGGCTGGGACACTTGTCCAGGGGCCCAGAGGTCTCCCTAATAATGTTTCAAAACAAATTTGTTGGTATAAATTAATATAAAAATACACTGTTACTTGATCAGAAGAAACCTGATGTGAATGTAGGTACCTAGTGGCACGTAGGTAGGATTAAAATCAGATTCTGTCAGTCCATTTTTAAAATATTGGTCAATTGAAAACTATAAGCTACCATTTGAGGCTCTCATCACAGTCATGGTAACTGGGCTCCTGCTCCATTGTCGTGCTCTGCAGTAACTGATTATGCCCGCTTCCAAGTGTGCACAAAAAGTTCTGTTTGAATCCAGTTCAACATGATTTTATGTGATGACGTCTGCTGGTCAGGGTTTTTGTTTTTCCATTTGTTTGCTTGCTTAGAATTTCCTGTCAAAATCATGTATATCTGGTTATTATTACATCAGTAAATCTAAAACGTAGTACAGTGGACTCTGTCAATTCCGATTTCGTATGTGATCGATACAATATGCCGGATTACACAGCATAACAGAATACTCAATTGCCTCAATACCGAAAGTATTATATCCTTAAAGCACTCATGCGTCATTCTGTTGATGTCTTCAAACTTAGCGTTCAAGTTATCGGCAAACTGTTTGTATTCATCTTTTTGCTTTAATATGTCGGATACTGTAGTACGTCAAATGCATACTTAACTGCTAACTCCTTCTGTGTAGGTTGTGGAACTTTCTCAGAATCTGCTATAATGTCAAATCTGTACGGGAACGCTTTGCAGGGCGATCACAGATTATGAAGTGACTTGAGAAACTCAAATCAAATACTGGGCGCTCTCTTACAATAAATTATAAAGACCGACACATGTTTTAAGCTCACCGATAATTGATTGGTTATTGCTTGTCAGTTAACACCCACCGATTGAAGGTCTGATTATCCAATGTTAACGCAAATTGTGTGACGGGATCGCTGATTGATGTCGTAATTCGGAATATTCAGAATCCTGACTACGCAAAACTTTTTGGGTTGAAGTAATAAGGAAATAAATTGGGACATGAAAATGATGACGGATTTCACAGAATGCCATAGTATTCAGATATCGGAAGTGACCGAGTCTACTGTACATGTATTTGGTATGTGATATGTTGTTGTGTTTTAGCAAAGTGACCTCAAGTTACCCCAGATATACGTCAGAATGATGCTAGAGACCATGTATCTTTCAATCATATTCGAGCCGGGTGTGGGGGGAAATTTCCACCATGCATTGCACATGTATCCATAGAAATGAAAATTGATGTATTTTAGTCTCACTTATTATTACACAAAATTTCAGAAGATCTAGCTTGGCACATAGATGTTTACATCAATCCAATCTCCTTTAAATTATATCTTTATTTTGTTTTGTCTTGATGGTTCATATTTTCAACCAGCATTAAGATGTAAGGTTGTTATGCATAACAATGTTATTCTTATTTCAGGTGCTGATTCCTGTTTTTGCTCTGGGTAGAGCTCAAGAGTTATGTATTTTATTAGAGACATACTGGGAGAGAATGAATCTTAAAGTACCTATTTACTTCTCACTTGGTCTTACAGAAAAGGTAATGAAATGAAATATAAAAATTTATTGATATGTGAAACTAAGTCCAAATATTAAAATAGGAAACGAAGTTTATAGATCTAGAGTAAGTAACATATGTGAAAAGACTTTTTACAGTTATGTAAACCTATTATCTTTATTAAATTAAAATGTAAGGATTCCTGATATGTGGCACTACTGAAAATGTCACATAGCTACCATATTCTGTGCTCTACATTTGTGTTGTGTTAAAGTACATTATTTATATAGGTCGACCTACCCTTTGTTATATTGTATGACAATAATTCATAAAAGGGACAAAAATAGTATGGATTTCTTTGTTTATTTCTTCAAAATAGTCTGGATTACTTTATTAATTTCTTTAAAATAGCATAGATTTCTTTGTTTCTTTTAAATTTTATGGACCAAAATAGTTTTTATGTCTCCGCCTATAAAGTTACTATGTCAACGCATACCTGCAGACGGTAAATGTTAAACAGTGGAAAGCTTTTTAGGTTCGTCTATTCAATGGTATCAATATTGACAGTTTCATCAATTGGACAACCCCATCATAATAGACTTTTGTCGCTTTATTTATTCTGTTGTTTGTTTTTAATTTTATTTGAATATTTGTTAAATCTAATGTACATTTAATTTTATTTGAATATTTGTAAAATCTAATGTACATTAAGAAATAAGGATTTTTGTGACTTGTTTCTGTTTGTCTAGAACAGAAGTTGTCTGGTTAATTCAAATATTTTGAATTTTTTCTCCTTCAGGCTACTTTAAATATTTTTTATCTTTCAGGCCAACAACTACTATAAACTCTTTATAACTTGGACCAGTCAAAAAATCAAGAAAACCTTTGTTGAAAGAAACATGTTTGAATTCAACCATATAAAGGTAATTTAGCTTTGTTAAGCCATGGGGGATCACTGTGGCTAAGTGGGTAAGACGCTGGCTCGCTAGCCTGGAGGTTGGGTGTTCGATCCCTGCATTGGCCGAGAAAGTTCACCCAGATTTTCTGGCGTGGTTCCCCCTTGTCAGTGGTGAAGGACAGAGGGCCTGACAAGGACAGCTGTCTAGTCATTCAGATGAGATGAAAAACCGTGGTCCCATGTACACATTGGTGTGCACGTAAAAGATCCCTTGACAGTTGGAAATCGATATAAGAGTAGGCTGTAGTACCGCTGTCCGGGCAAAATTTCTCTCATAGCAGACTGTATGGCGTATGCCCGTCTTCATTAGCCCAGTTCGGAGCAAAACAGTAGGACGTTAAACCCCAATTTATTTCATTTGTTTAGCCGTAGAAACTATGGCTTATTATTCTGTGCACCTAATACTTGTGTATTTTTACGGATAAGCTTAGCCCTTTCGTTACTGATTCTCGCCTGTCCAACCTCGTGGGTTTTATCCAGGTCTTCCGGTTTCCTCCCACTGCTAAAGACCCCTACGCACAAGCGAATTATTGAAATAAAATTCAACCATGTGTTAGTCCCGAAATGACCTAGTTTGTGTCAGGTGGCCATTAAACCCCGTCTCCCTCTCTCTCTCTCTCTTTCTCTCTCCAACTTGCATGGGGCACCTGGCTGGAAATTTTACTGGGGCATATTCTGATCATTGTCGGTCACACACACACAAACGCATTTTGTAATGTAGAGATATACATTTATTGGTGGCACAAATATATATAACTGATATTGGGGCCCCCAGGCTCCACCCCAGTCATCCATACATCCTCCCCCCCCACCCTTTCCCTGCTTGTGTGATGATGACAATTACGTTTTGGTTTTTGTGGTTGTTTACCGATCCCATTGGTATTCTAGGCTATTCTCAGCTAAAATTGGGCCTGGTCACTAGGTCATGCCAGAATAAAGATTAGATATAGAGTTTGCTACCAAACACAATCATAAATACCTTTCATACGACCACATTGCCCTCACCTCTGCCTGGCCGGCCAGACTGTGTCCACAGGCAGGCTAAAGTTAATATCCGATTGACTTTATATTTATACACAATGTTGAAGGTCATGAGACGAAAAAGACTATTGACGTTCAACAATTTCAAATAATTACTGCCAAACTTATGACCCTTGATCACTTTGAAAAATCTTATGGACACTCTGGAGGCTAAATTTAATATCCAATTGACTTTAAATTTATGTACAATGTTTAAGGTCATGAGATGAAGACACCTATGATTTTCAATGATTTCTGATAATACTGCCAGAGTTATGACCCTTGATCACTTTGAAAAATCTTTTGAATGCTATAGAGGCTAAAGTTAATATCCCATTGACTTTAAATTAATACACAGTGTAAATGTTCATGAGACAAAGAAGCCTATTAGTGCCAGAGTTATGACTCTTGATGACTTTGAAAAATCTTGTGTACTCTCTAGAGACTAACATTAATATCCGATTGACTATAAATTTATTTAAGGTTAGGAGACGAAAAAGCTTATTGTTTCGTTGCCTGACAACCTATCTTTATTTCGAAGTTTCACTATCTGGCCACATATTGCCCTGTTTATGTTCAAGCGTATGAAAGCTTGTGAACTCGATACAGGACACAGTTCCTCATAGTTGGATTGGTGATTAATGTATGAGGAAATATCATATCAAATTAAAATTAAACAAATTTAAACTGTTACGGGTAGATTGTTCATAAAGGCATGCATAAGGATGTAACCTATCAAATTATTAAAATTTTGTATTGTAAACTTCAAAGATGTTCCAAGACAAAATTTTCAACTTGTGTGTGATTTGTTCATTGGAGCATAAGGTGGAATCCTGTTATAAAGTAAAGAATATTTTTATTGTAAATCAGAGTTATTACCCTATATGTTACAAAAACTTTTTGTCCCTCGCCTTTCGAAGAAAGCAGGGGACTATTAAAATGGGTTCGTCTGTCCGTCCGTCTGTCGTCCGTCTGTCTGTCCGTCACACTTTTTGGGACACAATAACTCTCCTTCTAATTGAGCTAGAATGTTCAAACTTGGTGTAGGTGTTTATTAGGTCAATGCCTTGATGGAGTTCGAAGATGAGCATTTTCGTCTTAGGATAAGCAGAGATAAGCAATTTGATTGGTTGATGCTTTGGGACTTGATAACTTTAGTTCTAATTAAGTCAGAGTGATGAAACTTGGTGTATAGTTTCATTACATCAATACCTTGACTAAGTTCAATAATGAGCATTTTCTGCTCAGGGTAAGCAGAGCGATAAGCAATTTGATAGGCCAAGACTTTGGAACACAATAACTCACCTTCTAATTGAGCTAGAATGTTCAAACTTGGTGTAGGTGTTTATTAGGTCAATGCCTTGATGGAGTTCGAAGATGAACATTTTCTGCTTAGGGTAAGCAGAGATAAGCAATATGATTGGTTGATGCTTTGGGACACGATAACTTAGTTCTATTTAAGTGAGAGTGATGAAACTTGGTGTATAGTTTTATTACATCAATACCTTGACTAAGTTCGACAATGAGCATTTTCTGCTTAGGGTAAGCAGAGCGATAAGCAATTTGATTGGCCGAGACTTTGGAACACAATAACTCTCTTTATAATTGAGCTAGAATGTTCAAACTTGCTGTAGGTATTTATTAGGCCAATACCTTGACTAAGTTCGACAATGAGCATTTCCTGCTTAGGGTAAGCAGAGTGATAAGCAATTTGATTGGTCGAGACTTTGGAACACAATAACTCTCATTTTAATTGAGTTAGAATGTTCACACTTGGCGTAGGTGTCAATTAGGTGAATGCCTTGATGGAGTTTGAAGATGGGAATTTTCTGCTTAGGGTAAGCAGAGATAAGCAGTTTGATTGTTTGATGCTTTGGGACACGATAACTTTGGTTCTAATTAAGTGAAAGTGAGGACACTTGGTGTATAGATTTATTATATGAATACCTTAGTAAAAAATCTGTAAATAGGCGAACAGCCTTCCCAGATCTCTCTCAGCTACTAGTTTCGTTCTTATTCGAACTCTTCAGACTTAAATGAGGATGTGCGGTGGCCCTCTATATATAGTGTCGGTGGGCACCGGAGCGCATGTGATGTCACAGATGGACCGGAGTTGATCTTTGGCACCGGAGTCGATTATTCCGAAAAGTGTGCAAAGATATTCGGCTAAGAATTTGCCGTCATGATTATGCTTATTTGCATTGACTCAAGGCTCCTAACCCTTTTGATCTCTAAGTTTAAAGTTTCGTAAACTAAACTTCAACAAATTCAAATACCTCTAAGGCTAATTGATGGCAATGTGCCAGGTATTTTGAGCGCAGTTTTGGAACTCGTATCATTGACTCCGCTCAAAATACCTGGCACATTGCCATCAATTAGCCTTAGAGGTACCCCGTGATGTCACAATAGGGACGTCCACTAATATTTCTACTTTCGAAAATGAAGCACATCTGTGGAAATTTGCAGACAATGTCTCCAAAACAACGGAGGTAAAATATGGCAGATCGCCTTGTCCTGTACCTTTTCCAACCATGAGTATCTGGGAGGCTTTTTGTGAAGGAGTTGATCTTTGTCTCGAACTAGAGGCCTGGCCAGTTTGTCGCACATCGAATTCCGATGATTTGGCCTAATCAAACATCAGTAAAGAAGACTGGGTATTTTTACAACGTTTCAATCGAGAAACGCAAAAACAACCTTGTGAGCTCCTTGTTGAATTCAAGAAATATTTTCCTAGAGCCACTTTTCAAAGTATAATGCGAAATAGTAGCATAATCCTTAGCCTAAATCAAGGCCGAATATGAAAAACAAGGACGAGTTCCCAATTAATTTAGCCGTGGTACCCCTACGGCATAAGCTAATACAAAATTAGTGCATACACGCCCATAACCTAATAGAGTTATTTTTAAGCCCTCGTTAGTTTACGAAACTTTAAACTTAGAGATCAAAAGGGTTAGGAGCCTTGAGTCAATGCAAATAAGCATAATCATGACGGCAAATTCTTAGCCGAATATCTTTGCACACTTTTCGGAATAATCGACTCCGGTGCCAAAGATCGACTCCGATCCATCTGTGACATCACATGTGCTCCGGTGCCCACCGACACTATATATAGAGGGCCACCGCACATCCTCATTTAAGCCTGAAGAGTTCGAATAAGAACGAAACTAGTAGCTGAGAAAAATCTGGGAAGGCTGTTCGCCTATTTACAGATTTTTTACTTCAACCCAACTGCGGAGCAACCTATTCCAAGCTATGAATTTTTTAAAATCAGTGATTTTAAACGAGATCCTGGATTCCGAGTCTAACATCACAATAGGGGAAGTTCACTCCGTACCAAAAAGACTCAGGGTAGACTTCAGCTCCGTAAATCAAACCGGAGCAAAGTCCGCCAATCAGAAAGCGCTTGTTCTGCCCTTAGCAGTTATACCGGAGTACAAAACACTCCGAAACTTGAGCAGCAAAATTAGCCGCCTGGGTATTCAAATAGACTACCACCAGGCATGCCTGGATAAACAAATGATACCGAGACAGTTTAGGCTGAGAATTAACTCCGGCTTTACTACATACAACAGTATGTCGCTTAGAAATAGACTATGAAAGTCATAGCCAAAATCTTCTCAATTTTTATCATAAAAGAGGCTACCCACACAAAGTAGTGTCGGAAAATAAGAACAGAGCAAATTCTCTAGCCAGAAAATACCGGTTAAGCCCGACTACGGTTACCATTTTGAAAAAACGAAAGTTGCTCGTTTTTGTAACAGATTATAATCCAACTGCTGTTCAAGTTAGCATGCTCATAAAAGAGAAATGGCATCTATTATCCGGATCGGACATGTGCCGTTCCATCTCAGACATCAAACCAATCACAGCATTTAGGAGTAATCCTAATTTGAAGGATACGCTGATGAAAGCAAGATTCATCCATCCACCACGGGACTCGCAAACCAGCGGAGTCACGTTTCAAAATCTATTCGAAAAATGTATCAAGAAAGACTGTGATATCTGCTAAAAATTAGACCAAAATATCTACTTTATTAGTGGTAAAACTGGCAAGAAATATTCCTGCCGCACAGGCTATAATTGTTTAAGTAGAAATATAGTCTACCAATTAACATGCTCCTCCAAAAAACAATACGTCTGTAGGAGAAAGCAAATGTGTCTTTTCAAAACGAATAAAGGAACACTATGCAGCTATTAACACAACAGGCCAAAGCCGGTCGCACTACACTTCAACTTAGATAGACATACGAGTAGAAATGTTATGATTAAAATTATAGAGCTTTTTAAGACTGACCCAGATAACGGCAAAAACAATGCCGTAAGGAAAGCCAATGAATTCAAACTTTAAGAACATTCACACCGGATGGCAATAACGATAAGATGTAGTCCCGAGGGGTCCCCCACTTTATTGTTTACTCTATGAATACCTTAACTAAGTTCGATAATGAACATTTTTTGCTGAGGGTAAGCAGAGTGATAAGCAATTTGATTGGTCGAAACTTTGGAACACAATAACTCTCCTTCTAATTGAGGTAGAATGTTCAAACTTGGCATAGGTTTCTATTAGGTGAATGTTTAAACTTGATGTACATGTAGATGTTCATTAGGTGAATGTCTTGACTGAGTTCAATAATTAACATTTCGAGCTGAAGCTAAGCAGAGCTAATCGATTTCATTTGCCGATGGTTTGTGATAAGATAATCTTGATTCTATCTGATAGAGAGTGATGAAACTTAGTGAAAAAAATAAATGTGCGATTAATTAATATGTGTCGTCTATTTATTTTGCAATTTCGGCAGCCGACATCAGCTTCACTGTTGCCTTGTTTGATTTAAAGGTTAAAACTTCATTACACCTATATTGTAATATGGGCGTACGTTGTACCCACCTTATCCATCTTTCCTTCTATTGTTCAGAATTGCTTGTGAACATTCTACGCAAGTTAACGTTATCATTCCATTGACTTACAATTGATGCACAGTATTTGAATTTCAACAATTATACACAGTGTCATGGGATGAAAAAGTCTATAATTTAGTATCTACGGTTTCAGTTAATTACTGTCAGTGTTGTGGCCCTTGATCATTAGAGGTAAAGTTATCATGTTGATTTCAATTTTTTACACACTGTGTTTTTGTTCTTGAGAGAAAGATGCCTATTGATTGTCAATAATTATTGTCAGAGTTCTGGTGTTTGGTGACTTTACTGCTGGTGATATTTGAGTTAAGATCTGCCATTAAAACTCTGAGCTGCTTGAAAACTAAGGCAAAATGTTTGACGTCAACAACTTGAACTGTAGCATTTTGTAGTGAAGAGGTTGTACATGCTGTTTTCCAACTTGACATTATTGGACTCATCCAATTTGTCCAAATTGATTTTTTATTTTATAAACTCACATACTTAGCAAACGACTCAACATCATATTGCTTTCTGAATATAACAAATAGGGTATGATTTATGTAAAAATAGCTACATCTAAAGTAACATTTTCATTGCACTTGAAGTCCTCTTCTGCAAGAAATCCATTATGTTTTTATATGCCCACATTATTCCTGTAAACACTTGGAAGTCCAGTCGTGTTATAGAATTTTATGAAATACTTGCTGTGATTGTTCTACTTGAATAATTCATGAGTTGGATTTTTAATTGTTGTTTTTGATATAATGCACTGCATTTTAAATGTGTTTTGTTTACATGAAATAAAAGAAAATTGAGTTTCACCGTTCTGACTAAAGATGATAGGCATATGTGCTATGCAGTGTGGTATGAGGGGACGTGTGCCCAGACAGCGGCACTATGACCCAATCATATTTCAATTTCCATCTGGGCTGCCAATATACTGTACCTTGTTTTTGCATCCTATCTGAATGACTAGATGCATTTCTTTACAAGGTCGTCTGTCACGCCTTCCCATGGATAAAAGGTAACCAGACTGAAAAAGCAAGAACTATCTTGGCCAGCACCAGCATTGAACCCTGACACAGCACTGTACTCACCAAGCTACCACTTTAGTAAAGGGGGGGTTTGGTTGACTGAATAGTTAGCGTGCGCGCGCTGTATCATAAAGTCTGTCATAGAGTCGACTGACGTGGTTTCGAATCCCCGGTTTCCTTCCACTGCTAAAGACCCCTTTGCGCAAGCGAATTATTGAAATAAAATTAAACCATATGTTAGTCCCGACATGACCTAGTTTGTGTCGAGTTAAACCCCATTTCTCTCTCTCTCTCTCACCACTTGAGTCCGATTTGATTCTTTTTGTGTCCATTGAAATTTATAAATAATAAATTGGTATATTTGACAGTTAAGTCTGATATGTGGTGTAATACATTTGTGTTTGTTTTCTGTTTTATTTAAGGGATTCGATCGTAGTTACATCGAAAATCCAGGACCAATGGTTGTATTTGCAACACCAGGAATGTTACATGCTGGACTTTCATTACAGATATTTAAATCCTGGGCCTCAAATGAACTGAATATGGTATGTTAACGACTATGTACACTGTTCTATAATACCAATCATGAGCACAGGCGCCTGTAATCTGGAAAATATTTCAAAAATAACATTAAGCTATGACTATGTATATGTCTAAAGTCTGTTACGTCCATGTTCATAAGCGAGATTATCAAATAACTGGTCTGATTATAATTTCTAACTGCGGAGCAAATAACTCATCTGAAACAGATTCTCTTTCAGTAGATATAATAATACGAAGGTGAGAAACGGATTGGAATTAAATGATTGGGATCAAAGTTCACTACTATAGATTCCGTCAACCAGTGGCAATACTCACTAAATTTTGCTAGGTAGACAATCGAGTCTACATGACTTTTTAAAATTATCAACGCGACATATGCTTACTTTCGTATTTCTTGTAGCATATAGCAGATCATGACTCATGCTGGCATTACACAATGGCTTCTTTGGGTTGTATTCCTGATTTTTTTCAAATTTGAGTGAAGTCTGTGTCACTACAGACCTGGGACTACAGCGCAGTGGACGCTTACGGCTAGCCCCCAGATCCTTTTACTTTTTTTGAATTGTTTGTCTGTTTGTGTTTTTCTGAGTATGATGTCTTGTCCGCGTATTTGTTTTTGTGTAAATTTTGTGTGGTGCAGTCCCCCTGCACTTACTATTTAAGTCACGTAGACCATTTTTAAACGTCATCATAGACTCGATTGCCTACCTAGCGAAAATTTTAAATTCCTGTGTATATTATATATATTTTTATAAATTACATTACATCTCTGTCAATAGGCACCTTTAACATTTATAAATAAACACACTCTGTTTAATAAACTTAATTATTGTCCCCCGCCTTTGGAAGAAAGCAGAGGACTATTAAAATGGGTTTGTCTGTTTGTCTGTCTGTCCCTCAATCACACTATTTGGAACATAATAACTCTCCTTCTAATTGAGCTAGAATGTCCAAGTTTGGTGTAGGTGTTTATTAGGTCAATTCCTTGATGGAGTATGAAGATGAGCATTTTCTGCTTAGGATAAGCAGAGATAAGCAATTTGATTGGTTGATGCTTTGGGACACGATAACTTTAGTTCTAATTAAAGATACATTATGGGAGATTCGGTAACGAGTTGGCAGTTCTCACTATAATAGTTAAAAACTAGATAATGTAAAAGCAATTTGGTGAAAATTTCATTCACCGAGAACTAAGCAACTGAACTTCCCATAAGCCTCGGTCATCATTACTAAAGTCAGTACGATAAACAGCATAGTCTTGATTATCCATTTAATCGTTTAATCGAGAAGGAAAGTTATGCAGTAAATCGGCTTACAATCCACTAAAGATCGCAGGCTAGCGCTGCCATCTAGAGTTGATTATGGCCTGGATAGGTTAATTAATGTCTAATTAATAATTTAGATAACATTTCAGGCCTAAAGAAAGACCTGAAATAGGCAGATTTAGCTCTTGCATAATGTATGTTTAAGTGAGAGTAAGGACACTTGGCGTATTGTTTTATCACATCAATACCTTGACTAAGTTTGATAATGAGCATTTTCTGCTCTGGGTAAGCAGAGCGCTAAGCAATTTGATTGGTCAAGACTTTGAAACACAATAACTCTCCTTCTAATGTAATTGAGGTAGAATGTTCAAACTTGATGTAGGCGTACAGTAGGTGAATGCCTTGATGGAGTTCGATGATAAACATTGTCTGTTTAATGTAAGCAGAGATAAGCAATCTCATTGGTTGATGCTTTGGAGCACGATAACTTTGGTTTTAATTAAGTGAGAGTGATGAAACTCCAAGTATAGATTAAGTTTGATGGTGAGAATTGCTTAGGCTAAAGAGCAATAAGCAATTTGATTGGTCAAGAGTTTGGAACATAACAACTCTGCTTTTAATTGCGGTAGAATGTTTAATAAACTTGATCTTGACTGAGTTTGATCGTGAACATTTTATGCTTAGACAAAGTAAAGATAATTAGTTTGATTGCTCAATACTTTTGAAAAAGTTAAATGTGTAATTAATCAATATGTGTCATCTGTTTATTTTGGAATTTCAGCGGGGGACATCAGCCTCACTGTTGGATTGTTATGTTTAATTATGTAATATTACACGATTAACCTGATAATACTTGGTACAAAAGTTAATTTAAATTACAGGTTATAATGCCAGGATATTGTGTAGCAGGAACTGTTGGACATAAAATTTTAAATGGACAAAGAAAAATTGAAATGGAAAATAAACACATAGTAATATGATATTTGATTTGATTTTTTTTTTATAACAAATGTATAATTGAAAACAATTTGATTGGTTCTGGTAAAAGGTTTCACTTTATGACAGTAGTATTAGTTTTATTTCCTTTATTTTATTTTTTTACCATAGTTGTAGATATGAGAGGGATACATGTGTATGTGGTTTAACGTCCACTTGACACAAACTGTCTAATTTCTAATACTTAGTTCAGTGTACAAGTGTGGAATCGAATTCGTTGAAACCACACCACCTGACTCAATGACAGATCTTTAGACCGTTCAGCCACCCAACCCCATTCAGTAATATCTTAAGAGATAAATAACTAGTCCATATACAATATTGACCACTTTCTGTTTGCTTTTAACACTTTGGAGAGAAACAAAATTGATTTTCTTCAAGGTAATCCAACAGTTTTTCACTTAATATAGATATTATTTTTAAACTGCCCATATTCAACATCTTAATACAATGTCTAAAAATACAACAATTATTGACTTAGAAATACCGATGGAAAAGCGATCAGAACTATTCTAATTCGAAAGTAGCAAAAATGTGAATTTCACAAACTATGCATGATACGACATTTGACTCCCCACGGATGATAATTTTGTATTTCAGCTAGATGTAAAACTGTCGGTACAGTATATGTCTTTTAGTGCCCATGCTGATGCCAAGGGCATTATGACATTAATAGGTCAATGTGAACCTAAAAATGTGATGCTGGTTCATGGAGAGGGAGGAAAGATGGAATTCCTCAAGACTAAGATAGAGAAAGAATTTAGTAAGTACTACTGGTAAAAATAAAAACAAACTCGGTGAAACTGGAACTATAAAAATATTAGCTTCAAATTAATAAAGCTTTGACCACTACATTTGGAATTGTCTTGTTTGACAGTCGAAAATTTGATACTTTGAGCTGCAGAACTAAGAGTTGTTGCATTCAGTTGATAAAAGTGAAGAATAAATATTAGATTTGATTTTATTTTAAAAGATATTGCTATTATTAGTATTTTTTTTATTTATTTTTTAACAATACAGATATCAACTGTTATATGCCAGCCAATGGAGAAACAGCAGAAATAGAAACCAAACACAACATACCAGTTGATATATCACTTAATTTACTTAAACGAGAATGTTCGTTAACGTCATCAGGTTGGTGTATATAAATTGAATGCTGTTCTTTTATTAGCAAATAAAGTAGCAGATTTTACTAGTTTTGACCCTAAATGACATGTCAGGGATAAAATTTGGCATTAAAAATTACTATTTGTTATTGTTTTGTGATGAAATGAAAATATATCAATACCTATATCTTGAGGTCTTAATTAAAATTCTTGATCAGTCTTATTTAGTCTGTAATCCTTATAAGACATATACAATCTAACTAAACCACAGATCCTATTTGATTTCATTTTTTATAGTTCAAAATTCCGTTTTACTTGTCTTTACTACACTAGGATCTGGAAGAGTTGTTTATTAGACGCGTTCTGGTTGATGTGAGGGATTAGCCAGTGAAACGGTCTATTGTAACGAGTTCTTGGCGTGCGATGCACGGAACTGTGGGTATCCTACTAGAAACATCAACGTTGATTGGGTAATCAAAGTCTGACGTCATAGGGCCAAAAGCCGCTCGTATGACCCCTGATGCGACCTCCACTACATGCAGTATAGGCCATCGAAAGTATAAAAAAAAAACGAATTGAAATATAGATCTGTATTTTAATCAGATTGAGACATATAGAAATAGATTTCACAAATTAAAACATATGGATATATACTATTTATTCTGGTTAGTGTACGTAGAAAAGTAAGACATTAAACCCCATTTCATATCTTGAAGGAAAATCCTTTTGTTCTTAGTTATCTTTAAAAAGGACTTATTCATCAGTACAGCCTATGTAGAGGAGTAATGGGACATCTTGACACAGAAACATGTTGAAAAAGTGAAACCAGTCTCGATAAGCATAACATCTAATGCATGAACTATTAATCTTAGTCATCAAGGCTAAAGAATTTATGATTAATATGAACATTCTTTGAAATGTATTGCAAGGAAGAAAATTTGTGTGTATTTATATAAGCTTACAGAACTAATTTAATGAAATATGGGGTTGTATTCACTAAAAGAGCTGAAGTTTATAATAGGAGGAGTTAACCCTTCACCATTTTAAAATCTGCATTCTATAAATATAGTTTTAAGTTTTTTTGAGATCTTAGCTGAACATGATTCATCAAATATTGGCAAAGAAATGAACCTGTAAAAATATATACAAAAATGTTCGTAATAGCTCATCTTGCTCTGTTTACTCTACTATAATTGCTTTCAAGTTTTTGTTTGCTGTCATTCGATAAATCAACATATCTGCTGTGGCAGCTGCTAATGAGATATTACTGTAGAATCATATCACATTCTTGCTCTGACTTTTAAAGGATCAATACTTTTTATTTGACTACTATCGAATAACTTGATGTAATAATATTTGTATTCCTCTTAATTTCTAGCTTTAGAACCACCTGATGCTAAAAGACCATGTGTTTTACATGGTGCATTAGTGATGAAAGGAAATGTAAGTCACTTGTTTAATGATACTGTCAGTTAAAGATACAATACTCCTGACTAAATGACAATTATTTACTTTAAGACCATATACAATAAAAACTGGTCTTGTTAAAAAAACAAAAAACAAACCCCAAAACGTATGGGTCGTAGACCAAATTCTCCTCCCTGACATTGCAGAACTGTGGAGTTAAACCCCATTTCATTTCATTTCTTTCCCTGACGTTGCAAATGTAATCATAAAAATAAAAAAGTGTCACATGTTTGTTTCAGAATGACCAAATAATTGTACGGACAAGACACTAAACACCATTCCACTTAAATAAAAAAAAACCTGTGCAAATGTGAGCTCTTTAATTAACTTGCGATAAATCGCTGTCTGAAAATAACCTGAGTTTATTCTTAAACGGAAAATATTAAAAAATGTTTAAAATCTAAAACAAGAAATACTAAAAAAAAGTCTTATTCCTTTTGCAAATATTGATTTCAAACAAACTTCCTGTCATACCTTTGTTGGATTCAAATAAAATGTCTACAATTAGGATTAATGTACCTTTGTGTATGGGATTTTAATCGTATTGTTTTCACATAAAAGCTCCCTTAAAATTTATTTTTTCCAAATTTATTTTTTCTCTCAGAAACTCCAGTTAATAGATCCAGCTCATGCCTTTAGAGAACTGGGTTTAGAAGAACATCATCTACGATTCACATGTACTGTATCTATAGATGAAGAGGGTCCTGTTACACAAACTGTAGATAAAATATATCAATTAACTAAAAGGTAAAATATATAACATCTACCATCACTTTATTATTGTGTAGGGAAGAGACAGGTTAGTCAATCCAACTCCTCTTGCAGAGGATGCTAGATCCAATTTCACTATTTCCACCTGTTGTAAATAGTGATTATCGCGATCAGAGCAGAACAGTCGGTCGGTCATTAAACCTCATTTCGTTTTTATAAAATGATATTCTAGGATGTATGAGGAAATAATTCACATTACAGACAAATATTTATATGTTTGCTTGAGAAATGAATCAATAGACGTAATGGATTTTTTTTATATTAGGAGGTAAAACTTTTATATTTAGATTTAACAAAGTGAATGATGTGTTTAACTAGGTAACTTTTATACAACAATAGTTTTTATCGACGTTTACAAAAAGAGCATTGTTTCATACACCTGAAACAATAAAGAGAGACCCGAAAACACTGAATGCTTCCAACAAACAATGACAAAACTCAAGTCTATAAGATTGCTTTATATTCAAGGATTCAAAGGATTTCTTGTGCATTGTTTATCTCTGGATGACATTGTAACCGGTGATGGCAAAATGCGCAAAGTCTAATATTGAGCTACAGACAAAACAAGTGAAAATATTGATTTTGATCGAAATTGAGATTTTCACAAAAATGAGTCTATAAATATACTATCTATCGACCCAAACGATCAAACAATAAAACATTTCAAAACACCTTTATTTTGACGTTTAGCGAGAGTATCGTATTCATAAATCTTCCTTGTGTCTTTAAATTCTCAGCGAACTTAAGTTATTTTTCTCCGTTCGCAGGGGGATGACCAGTCAATCCCCTTTCGTAATACTTGGCATCGTTGTGGTGGAGTGAATCTCTAGTTTATAAATATTATTATTACCGATAACCACATGCTCAACGAATACAAACTAATTTTTAAACCCATATAATAGGTAAACAAAATCAGTTTGTTGCTGTCAAGTCGTCTCAGTTCGTTCGTTGATTGGCCCAGACATCCCGCACACTGCATTGTGGTATGGTGACTGCGTCCATGGCACTTGGCAAACCTCGGCAGACTCCAGTACACCACATCTAGCCTCGGCTGTATGATGAATTCCGCCAATGGAACTAATTTCAAGTTCCCGAATTACAAATGGCGTCGCCCATGAAGACGCTCATGAAGAGTGTTTTATCATACAAAGCTCTTAATGTCTGAAACTGTTTTTTTTTTTATTGAGAACGTCTTTCTAAAAGCGGCTAGTTTTCCTGTTAAGTAAACCGGTAGCCCCATCGCAATTGTATAGGTGTAGGTACATATCACTTACCGTCATACAGCCGAGGCAAGATGTAGGCTACCGGAGTCTGCCAAGGTTTGCCGAGTGCGTCCAGGGCTCGCGCTTTTGTTTGCAATTTGCGATAAAAAATTTAATTTGGCCATAATATTTCTGAGAAAATGGAGAAGGGTCTTAAAATTCTAATCGTATATATATTGACGTTGAGTGTCAGTCACAACCACGTGGCCGAATTCTATAAATTCGTCAACTAGCTGAATATCCCCATCGTGTCATTGAGTAATACTAATCAATTGTCATAGATTAATGATTAATTGATTGATTATTGCCAATGATATAAATGAAGCCCCCCCCCCCCCCCGAATAATTTATCCAAGCGGTGTTTATTTGAGATTTCGTTTCGTCTTTAAAAACAAATGATATTTTGATATTTGAATTCTGTTTACTGTGGCTTCATACAGGCATGCCTAATTGGATATTATTGTTTCAAATTATATTATCACTATGAATTGGAAACGTGAGAACAACGAACCGCGGCAAAATAGTACTGAAGTGAATGTACGCATCTCTTACAAATGAAATTGAAATTTCTATCAGTGATTCGGCATGTAAAATATACAAGCATGCCCAATTGGATATTATTGTTTCAAATTATATTATCACCATTAATCGGAAACGTCAAAACAACGAACGGGTCGAATAGTGACGATTCTCGAGTGAGAAAACGGTCTGCAATTTGTTTATTATAACACCCTGCACGTTTCAAGTCAGTAGCTTGAAGCGTATATATGGTATTAGTGTCAGTGGCTTGTGGCACGAAGTAACAGTATATTGTCGCATACATAATATATTATGTCAACGCTTGGGCGACATAATATATTGTGTTGACGCTCCAAGCGTGTTAGCATATTAGACCTGTAGACTCAGTGGAATGTACGCGTCATCAGAGCCATAGAAAGTGTCCCTGTAAATAAAAGAGGGCATCCTTATCAGAAAAAGGGCACCTGTGATGTCAGAATTTCAAAAAAGGGCACTTTTCTTTCGGATTAGGGTTAGGGTTAGGGTTAGGACACAGAAAAGAGAGAAAAAACAGAAAAGAAAAAAACAAGCATTCATTGGTTATCAAAGCGCCAATTAAATCTATCGTTGCAAGTTCATGCCTAGTCACCTCCATCCTAGTTCCAAGCGTTGACATAATATATTATATCGCCCAAGCGTTGACATAATATATTATGTATGCGACAATATACTGTTACTTCGTGCCACAGGCCACTGACACTAATACCATATATACGCTTCAAGCTACTGACTTGAAACGTATCGCCTGATTATAACGCCCTAAAATGCACTTAAGTTAACGTAAGCATCTCTTATTAGTCATTCTATCAGGGGTTCAGATTGTGATACCATTACGGTACCTGAAAATAACAGTAGACCTATTGTACACGCAAAACCTTATTTTAATTTATTCGTGTGACGAAGAGAACAGAACACACAAATAGCTGTGACGCCCTAATGATTATCAAGAAACTAAACTTGATTACCCAATCAACAATCTTAATCTCCTGAGTACTAAGGTGGTAATTAATTGATGAGATTAACGGAAGTTATTCCCATAAAATTTATAATATACAAAATCTAGCTTACTAATGTATGGACTAGTCTCTTTTGTTCTAAATTTAAACACGGAAAGAAATATTAAACGAAGAAATAACAAATATATGGCGTGGTTGGTATGTGATTTTCTTTTAGAATATAGCAAAATCTTTAACTTGCTTTTACTTAAAACTACCTTTTCTGAATTGGGCAACTTCAAACGAATATAGCTCAGTCAATTTTTGCCCTATTCATACCAACTATACCTCATTTTGAAGGTATTGAGATGGACAATGTAAAAACAACAGTAACTTAATTTTTAAAATTTCCTCATTGCGATTCACTTTGCCATCACAGGTCACACAATGATAAATAATACTCTTAAAACATCCACATGCTAGTTGCAATAAAGACAAAATATAGACTTTCAGATCAAAGTAATATTTATAGACAAAATTGGTTATGATTTACATTATATTGTTTACATTTTTATGTCTCTTATGAACTGCTTTGTAAAGAGAGTGGAGATGGATCCATTCAGAGGCTCATCGCGTGCAGTGTGTGGTTTCTAGAAGTAGCCATACACCGTTCTGACTTCTGATATTTACTTTTGGTTCCGATGTTCACTCTAAATTAATGTTGTCATGGTCTTTATGGGTTGTTGTTGAGTTTCTAGTGTCAGTAAATGTCCAGCCTACATTCATGCCAAAAATCATATTTTAGCTTCATTATGTCTCACCAGCACTTCCTTTCAAATCAGTGATGCGTTTTCATTGCATCTAAGTATAATATTAGGGTAATTTGTTTAAACTTATAATCTTGAAAATTGTAGTTAGTATTAGTCCTTAATGTTGATTTAACCATAGGACTATGTTAATTACATAATGCCAGTTGTTATATCAATACTGTGTGTAGTGTCGGTTCTATAATTGTATTTTCTAGTAAATTAAAGAACTGTGCCGTACAGTTTTCTAATTATTCTATAACTGTATTTTATAGTAAATTAAAGAACTATCCTGTACAGTATTCTAATGATGGTTCTATAACTGTATCAGAATCAGTTTTAATAAAAGTGTCAGGGGATGAAGAAAGTAAAGATATTTTAGTCTCTTGGTCTTATCAAGTAAGTTAATTATGATTGACTCCTTGAATAGTCAATTTATGCTATAGAACAGAGATTATTGTAGGAAACCAGATTTTGGTTATATTGTCAGACTATACAATTGCAAGTAAAGTACATCAAAAGTTTGTTAGCAATGTGTAGTCCTCAAATTAGAAGTGGTATCAGATATTGCATTGATAAGGAGCATGGTTCATATGACACAAGCTATACCAGGCTACTACTGTAAATATATTGTTATATTTAGTATTTCTGAAAAAAATGTTCTATCATCTGTTTTACATTACAGGATGAAGAACTGGGCAGCTATTTATTGCAGATTTTAAGAACAAGCTTAACAACATGAACATTGTGAGACATTGTTAAGGAGAGTTAAATACTGCACATAATATTGACTGAAAAGTGAAGTGTAAGACAAAGTGCTAAAATTTTAAAAGTGATCCGAATAAGTTTGAGAAAATGGCGAAATTAGGTGTGCATGTATTATAAAATTAATGAACTTCGCACACAGTTATTCTGCCACTTCTGACAAAACAGAATTCACATGTGTGTCTGTCACAATAATTAAACTTATCTTAGGTTAACAACTCATCTAGATTATCTAAACTTTGATACAGTATAACAATTATTTGAGAAATTGGGGATGATTATTTGTGAAGAGTTTGGGTGTACAAACACGTAATCTTGAACTCTGGTAGAAAACATTCCATTGTAAACTTAGTGAATTTATAGAGGAAATGAAATGGGGTTTAACATCCTACCATTTATGGAGGAACATTGCTTGTGGATGCTCTAACTTATCCAACTGACATGACATACACATTGTTACTGTTTATGAGATGATTAAGCAATGTGATTTGCAACAATTTCCAAGAATTACTATTGAAGTTTATCACCTGTGGACACCTGTGAGGGTACTTTTCATTGCCTGGCAATCTATCTTCTTCAATTATTTTGAGTAGCTGATAGCTGCACTGCGTAGGATTTCATGTAAAATTATACTTATGAAAGAGACAGCTAGATAATTCATCCTGTGACATGCACGCCTGGGGTTTAGAATTACCAACAATTAAAATGGATTTCCTTTTATCAATTCATTTGTTTTATTAACCAAAGTTATCAACTGAGAAGAAGATTGCATCAATTCAACTGTATAATATTTCCTATGCAGTGTAACCCAATATAGTTCATAAATAATTCATACATGTATGGCGATAAAACAGTTTAGCATTAACTCCACTGATTTTATTGAACTTTCTTTCTTTTATTGAAAACAATGTCTTCTGCCAGAGAAGTCAATTCTGTGCTTGCTTTGCATGAAACAACACCAGGGCGTAGCCAGACTCTAACAGGGAATGAGCACATGGCAAATGAAAAGGGGTACTTGGCACTTACCAAACGATTTTAAATTCTTTTGAAAAATATACTATACTTCCTTGCTCTTTCCCAAGCTCTATGCCATTGGCATTGACACCCAGTGTTGTAAAAGGACCACCTTAGTATTGGAATGACATGTAGAGCTGTGGATGCAACACTGTGGCTGCTCTCTAGGCATGTTCTGGATCTATGATGGATCACTATGAATTGTTGTGTATGTGGGTGTTCCAGTGGGTGAAACACAATGAACTGCTACAGATGGAATTCCATCTGCTGCTATTGCCACATTTTACAAATCATCTACCACCAAGACAATATTCAATTGTAAACACGAACGTCTAAGTAAATTGAACAAAAATATAAAAAAAAAGATGATGCCACCAAGACAGCATCAGTGCATAATGTCAAAATAATCTAAATTGAAATTTCCTTTATGGCCATAGGAAAAAATATTTATTTAACCTTGAAGAGCTCATAAAATGACCAAAACAAAAGTATATGTACGTAAAGTTAGTGGTTACTATATATATACACTTTACAACAATTTCACACCAGTCTGATTTTAATTATTCGATATTGCCCTTTAAAACACTTTTCGCGACGTCACAGGGACTACACATACCATATACACTAATTTTTATCGATGGTTCAATTAATATACTGACTGAACTAACCATTGACCTACAAGGTACAAATAAACAAACACAATATAAGGCAGAAGAATTTGTTATAGATTATAGATGTGTCTGCCTTCTAAATCTTCAATTAGCAATCTTTTGTGAAATTTTACAAGTAATCAATACCAGACTAATCAGTAACATGAAATGAATTATTCATAGCTCATTGTTAAACCGAAACCCGCTTGAAATTTAATCTTTTTGTCACTATGGTCACAAGAACCATCCATGCATATTGTCATAATTTGATCTACGTTAATATCTGTGAGCCCACAGTGAAGTACTTGAGATTAAACAATTTCCTTACGAGAGCTGGCTGAAACGTTCTAATCCCCAAAAAGGATAGATCAATTGGGTTGTAACAAGCTTTTACCACCAAGCAGTACAATAATTGAATGAATTATAGAGTAGTTTTATTATGGTCTTCGTACCAGACCATCTTGTGAACCTCCCTGCAACTGAAATGACTGATCCCACCACAGATACATGCCGACATGGTTTCCACTTTAGGGGACGAATTCCCTTCCTTTTCTACAGTAAAGAAGTGGGCTGTCGGATTTAAGCCTGGCAGAGAGAGTCTTGACAATGACCCGCGCACTGGAAGGCTAACAGCAATGGTCCATTTATGAAAAAAATTACCCGGTGATGGCTGATCGACGATTGACTATTCGACATATTGGCAGTGTTGGGGACATATCTCATGAGCGGGTTGAGCACATTTTCGCCAACGAGTTAGGAATGACAAAAGTTTCTTCAAAATGGATGCCAAAACTCTTGACTGCGGACCAGAAATGTGTCAGATTCCTGATGTCCCGTGAGTTTTGAAGCAGATCCTGATAATTTTTTGGCTAGATTTGTAACTATAGATGAGACCTGGATTAATCACTTTCAACCAGAATCCAAAAATCAGCCCCAACCCATTTGAGTGTAAAATAGCATGACATCAACCCTATTTTATTGAAATCGTCATAGCTTAATTTCCTATTGATTATTTGTAAATATTCATCTTATTTTACTTTTTAAAGAGGTCATTGATTAGTCTTCTATTGATTACCGTTTACTTTAAAAAAAAACCTAATCATTCCTAAGATCACCTTTGAATTATCTGAGGTTAGACCCCCGGCCCACACACATTCCTTTTTGCATAGGTGTTCTTTAGTCTTCTAAATCTTCCCTGGATAAGACTACAATTTAAAAACAAATTAAAATCACAATTTATTTTTAGCAAATAGAATCAAACATTCAATTTGATATTTTTATTAGAAATTTAGGTCTATTCACAATTTTCATAAACTGATTCGATATCTTGCCAATTCAGTCATGATTATCTTAAGAATATGAAATTAAAAATTCAATAAAAAATTTTATTCGCCCACATTTTCATGTGCGTTTATATTGTCGTCGCCCCTTGTCTAGGGGCCCGGAGCCTAGAGGGGCCCAGAGGTAAGCCAAGTAATGTTTTAAGAAATAATTGTTAGTATAAAATAATAAATAAAATACTTTTACTTGATCTTAAAGTAGAAGAAACCCGGTGACTTGGGTAGGATTAGAATCGGATTCTATCAGTCCATTTGGGGGGGGGGGGAATTGTTGACTTTAAAACTATAAACCACCTGCCAGGCCTTCACGCCATGCGGCCCCGACACGTCCTCGGTCTGTTTGAGGCTCTTGTCACCGCCAGGGTATCCGGGCCCTTGCAATTAATCGGGACCTAGTCCTGGTCTGTAGAACTCGACAATGATAGTGAGCGCGCAAGTGATCAAGCATGTGATTATCGATCGCTTATGTAGGCTGACTGGTATCCGATCATTAAAAAGCAAACTGAAAGAGAAACTTTTACTTTCGTCTTCGTTTCGTTAGGCGTTAAAAATCTCAATGTTTTCCAATATTTTTGCAAACTGCGGACCTTTTGCCGACCAATGACTATCATGCAATTTTAAGCATCGAAAATGGCTTCTCACGCGCTGTTAATTTTCATGAGGCTATTGATGAGTTCGCACGAAAGGTTACGTTTGAAACCAGTTCAACATGAGGCTAGAGATTTTGTATATTTTCAAAATATCTCGACCCGGATAGCGTTTACACTACGAAAATTTAACCATGCCGAGACCACCTCACTTCAGTGGGCCAAATTGGCACGCTTAAAATTTGTAATGTAAACGAGGTTATAGTGTAAAAGTATGTAATACCAAGGTTGTGGATCATAATGTTTTATCCAATTTCGACGAAACTTAAAAAAATATGTTTATGTCTGAAAGATCTCGATTCCTTTCGATATTCGCGCGTATCGGTCCGTAACTTCCTTGATTATGGCCCCTTATTGTACGAAGATTGCTTTTTTTTTTAGCTTGTTCTCTGTCCATCTCTTGCAAAATTTAGGCGTATCTGGCATGGCAACCGCTTGTTATCCGATTTTAAAAACCATTGAAATATACCACCGTTACATATGGACGGTTGGGTTTGAATTTCGTGACAATCTGGCCGAATCTGCCCTGCAAAATGGCCTCTCCACATACGCAAAAAGTGTAAAAGTATGTAACACCAAGGTTTTGGGCCCCCTAGAGGGCACAATTTTGAGCCAATTTCAATGAAAGTTAAAAGATATGATTATATCCGAAAGATCTCGGATCATTTCGGTATTTGCGCATATCGGACAGTAAATTCTAGGATTATGGCTCCTGAGTGTACGAAAAATCTCGTTTTTAACTGGTTGACCCTCTAGAGGTCTCAATATTTTGTCCCGTTCAAATATATTATCTAATTTTGTGAAAATATTGACGCATGTCGGAGACTGTAATATCCAGGATTATGACCCCTTATTCTATGATAATCGCTTTTTTAGATTGTTTTCTACCAATCTCTTTCAAAATATGGACGTATCTTGCGAGGCAACCGCTTGTTAGATTTATGAAGCCCACACGGGGACAATAAATATTGTGTGACAATAAACTCATATTGATTGATTGCGAAATGATTCTGATCTGTTTGTTAAAATTATAATACTGCATTTTACAGATTATTTTATAAATATCTAAATTACAACATAGTAAATGGAAACCTTTTTAAAAATTCAGCTATACTAAAGCCAGAAGTAGCAAAGTATTACAGGGAATTAATAGCTGCAGATGTAAGTCCTGATTTCTAGTTCTAGAAATTGAACTCACATAGAAAATTGTCAACATAGGATTCTAATCTTTATTTTATCTTATTCTTATTTAAACTACTTATTTATCAATTCCGTATAGCAGTCAGTCTAGGGTTTTAGTGGGTGTCTGTTAATGTGCGGCTATTTTGAACGCCATGTTAGATTTTGACCACTGTTGGCCAACAGGATCGGACAGCCCTATTAAATGTGTGTTTCAGTACTGTAAATTCCTTTTAAAACTTAAATCCGCTGTGTAACGATTTCTCCGATAGGCTACTGAACTGGAAATAAGAACAATGAACCTAAGGTCTTCGTTACCAATGTGGTCATGGTTGAACCATTAATTTCATCTAGAAATTGTCTGTCCGTCGATTTCGGACACTTTCCTTGCAACCCCCACGTCAACACAAATCCACACACCAGAAAATTGCCCATCCCCCGCTATTACGTCAACCAATTATAAGTAAATCAAATTCCACACCAAACAATGCTCTCCACATAACAGAAAGTATCTCGTCACATGGACTAAAATGAAGTAGATACGCCGTTTTTTTTTCGTGGATATGCAATTTTCGCCCCCCCCCCCCAAGTGGAAAAAATCACGTGGTTTCAGTTCGGTTTTGAACAGTATATTCATAAACATAATGCTCAACCACTAGTTTTAAACATAGCTAGACCGTGGCTAGGTTATGCTAGAAATCAACTCTAGCATGCTCTACACAGCCCAAAACGATATAAATATTGCTTCTCGTGCCGTCTGGGGATCTTGTCTCATTAACCTGAATTCATTTACTTACGCGTGTCTAATTTCAATTATTTATTTATGTTTTTCTGTTGATAACTGTATTATTAAAATTGCATTATGTAAGAGTTAAATTTGCCTATCGCAGATCTTTCTTTATCCTCAAATGCTATATAAATTATTAATTTGCCAATTTAATTTTAAATAGGATAATCGAGACTACACTATTCTTCATTAATTAAGTCATTCCCTTAGAACAGAGTAATTTGACTGAATTGTTCAATACATTACTT